ATTTTAAACAGTAAATAATATTTAAATTATACTGTAATCACAAAAGAAATGAAGATTAAATTAATAATTAATTAATTAATTAATTAATTAATTAATTATTAATTTTCGACATATTTTGAAAATAATTGTTATGTTAATAAACAATTTTAGAATATTTAAAAAAATTTGATTTGATTGAATATTCACAAAGTTATTTTAATTGTTTATAAGTACAAAAATTCGACCAATGTTTAAACAAGCGCCAGAGCTCTCCTAATTGACGGATTCGAATTTTTCAAAAAGCGTTTGAAAGCTTGAGAGCCCTTCTATGTGTGATTAAATTTTCAAGGATCTAAGGGCCTTGGTTTTTGCTGTGCAAAATTTTGAAAATTTCCAAATTTTTTTTTTAAATCTGGATTGCAAAATTATTATGCAAAATCTATAGAAACGATTTTGATGAAATTTGGTGTGATGATTCTTAATAACATGAACTTTTTTTGAGCCAAATATGAAAGTCCTTAACCCAACTTAAAGACTCCAAAAAAAATCCCTAAGAAGTAATGTTTTTAACCCCATTTTTGGCGATTTTTTCGATTTTTACAATAATAATCAAGATTCAATCGATTTGCAACTAGTCTATTTTGTAAAATTCAATTACAAAAATTTTTTTCCTCTTCCATTTTCGCCTAAAATCAACTCTTGAAGAGATACATAATTAAATAGAAAGAAAAATATACATTTTTCGAATTTTTTTTAACATATTGTGCCGCCAAAAGTTAATCTCACGTTTTTTTTATGCGCATAGAAATTTCTAGTTATATTTGAAAGCTAAAAATCTTCGTGGATATACGATTCGCCCAAACCAAAACAGATACCGACTAGTCTATTAATAATTTAGGGCAGTCGCTTAAGTGTAGAAATGCAGTCAGTGGTAGCAGCTTTCTTGCTGGCCTAAGGTTTAAGAGCTTTGTTTTGGTTCACACTTTAACGAATTCTACAACAATCTTCGCAAACGCACTTTGCACCATTTTGGTTTTCTCAGAACCGATTTTATTATAATAAATTTTATGGTCTCTTTTTTCCTCAGAATTAGTTTGTAACAAACAGTTCTTGAACTAGTGAAACAATTTTTGTTTGTGTGATATGTACTGAGAAAAGAAGAAAAAGAAAGTTTTAAATATAGGAAATCCTTACAATCCACTTTAATATTAGGAATATTATACTCTATCATCAAAAAAATGAAATATTTGCATTAAAACGCATCTTTAAATTCTCGCTTTAGTTGCACCTGTACATTGCAGCAAGACGCTAAATTTCGTATTTTTCTACTGTGTTTTAATATTTTCCTAAAAGCCAGTACCTACAGATATCTGCATATGTTATTGACGAAATTACCAATTACCATTACAACATCGACATATTACAAATAATCCGACACAAGCCGTTTAAATTAACCTTACAGCTGCCTACGACAAGCCTCTGCTCCTGCAGGCATCCATCCAACTTGTCAGGCAAGTTAATTATCAGATTTATCAGAAGTTCCATGACCTGCACGATTTAAGATACTTGTATGGTTTCCTTCGCATAATTCTTAGCTGTTGCTTCGACAGCATCGATTACACTGATGTTCCCCTGAAACTTTTCGCTCCGAGCCGGATAAGAGACGAAATAAATTAATTGTCGTTGTTTAATACGTCGGGCGAGGCGTCTGGCAATCGATCAATTAACTTTTTAGTTGGAGAAGGAGGCTCCTTAAAAAGTTTTAATTTGATTTGGTGTATAAAATGTCACATATACATCAACAGCCCACACGCAGAAGAATTAAGAACAACTAATTTTTTGTATACCTACGTAAATAAATACATTGTGTAAACCGATGACAACTACTCTGTGGACTAATTCTCCGACCACCATTGAATTATATTAGCAATATATGTACTGACCAAATTGGATCATCCGTCAGTCAAACCCATCAGACATATACCGGTTTCAAATTTTATGAAATATATTTAAAAGTCTATAATCTAGATTGTTTTGTTTATTATGTTTCTTTGGAAATGAGAGAATGATGATCTAAAAGACATATCCTTAAGGTTTTTTTTGAGCAAAATTATACAAAAGATGTGTCAACATAAGGTGAAAAGCCTACATAAAATGTCTTAACTGAATGTTCTAAAAAGCAAGAGTTATTAATTTTTTTAATGAAATTTATAGTCTCAATAAATTCTTTTTGAAAATACGAACTATTATTTCATCCCCAATCGTCCACTCAGTATATTGATACAAGTGGTACTTCTTCCACTGTTTGCAATAAATATCCTAAATTGCAAATGGGAATGAACGGTTTGAATCATATTATAAAGTTAAAACGTTGCAATTCTGCACAATACATCAATCAAGTAAATATTTGCCATTTATGTATATCCGGTTGAATAATATTATGTGGCAGACAGCGTGCTACATCTGTTAGTTTTAAAATTCGTTTATCTGCCAATAGATACTTTTAAAGTACATTATGTCCAGAATTAAAATCGGAACTGCCATTAAAATTAGTAACAAAAATGTCTGAAATAAATAATTATGTAATTTCGATAGGCGGGATGGTTTTCAAAGAATATCGATTCATTTATACAGGGTGTTAATGAAATTATGTCAAAAATTGAAAGGAGTGGAAAGGGAGCAAAACTGAGTTAACTGATGTCACAAACTTGTACCGGATGTTTAAGGTCATAGAGGAAAAAGCTAATTAAAAATGTGTTTAAAACTGTTTTGGAACTGCATTTTAAAACTTGCTAATGTAGTTACTCAAAAGCTACAACACTGCGCATCGCAACACGTTGACCATCCGTAACGTTTATTCCGATGAAGAATTATGAAAATATAAAATATTTACCAAACTGTTGAATGGAAATGAGTAATGACGCACTTGTAGAGTGTCGCTACAGCCTTAAAAATGCCGCCTCGTAATAGCATTATAATTATATGTACTTAAGGTACATAAAAGAGGCGTTATTGGCTATTTGCTACCTGTTACTTTGTAGCAGGTGTCCGTTTCACTCCTAAATTAAACCACTCCACGCCTGGAAATTGTTGCGGGAAATTTGTTGGGGATACGTGCTCTGTCTGGATATATATACTCGGAATTCAGTGAGGGATTGTTATTATCAGCAACTTCAGCCGTCAAAGTCAGGTTTTATGATAAATGTTCCAATCAAATTCTAATATGGTCGGGTCAAATTTCAAATTCTATGATAATAAACACTAATTTAACATATTCTGTGGAAGAAAGAGTGGTATAGGATTAAAACTTGCAAAAAGCTTTGTCAAAAAATGTGCATATCCTAAGTCAGTGTTGTCAATATGGTCATATCTAAAATATTAAAATTTAAATCAATTTAATGTAATGTGAATGATTTACAGCAACACTGAAAATTTTAGGAATCTGTTGACTGTATACAAGTAAATTGGAATTATATTATTCTAAATATATACTCTTACGAGTTTAAATTTGTTCCAAGTTGCTTAATATTTAATCAAGTTTGCAACCACTATATAAGGTATGTATATACATATTTTTAACAGTATTGTAACATATATACTGCTATGGTTTTGTAAGTACAAGTAATTAAATTTTAAAAATCAGGTACTAATATAAAAAATATATTTTTCTCTTAAGGTTAAGTAGTTGTACAAAATAGGTACAACAAAATAATGTAAAATAGGTAAATTGGTATCTATTATTTTTTCCACATTTTTGAGTATTTTTGGAGTAGAATCTACATTAATAAAGGTAGAGAAGTTAATAGGTATTATATTTTTATTTTTTTTATTTATATATGTATATGATATGATGTATATTGATATGTGATTTTATTAATGCATCTATTTTTATTAGCTATTTCTCTCACCTATTAATTGGTTTTAACTGTCAGGTGGTGTAACTTAAATAAATAAATAAATATATTGAATGCCCTTATGAAATCTTATGATTGAATACGAAACAGTAGCACATAATATTAATAATAAGCCATTTATACATCTTTATACCAAAGTTTATTTCAATTTCGAATATTCTTGCAAATATACAGATAAAATAAATTTAAGATATTATTTCGAAAATTTCAAAAGGTATCCATGACGTCATTAAAAAACATAAAATAAGTAGTCGCATACGATTTGGAAAATTAAAAACATTTTACTCATAGCAATATCTACATATTATTAATAATTATCCAATTATTTAGATTAAAATAGTTGTTTTTTTTTGTATGTTGCCGCACGCAAATATATATTTTTTAATTTAAAAATATATCCCTGCGACACAAGTATCAGTTAGTGTTTGTTTTTAATAAATTAATTTTTTTCTAGGTACTATAAAATCTCACCATGAGAAAGAAATAAATATACCTGTATAAGAAACAGTCCACGTAATAATATGTTGTGAAAGTTTGAAAAGTCATTCCTCTTTGATTTCAAAACAATGCGTTTTTTTCAAAAATTTTTAAATATGACAATTTATAGTCGCTAAATTAAAAAAATATTGCATTGGTATCTACATTTATTAATATAAGTGTTATAAATCGAATAATATGAAATTAAAAATTAAAAATCACACAGCTTAGAATCTACAAAATAACAAAACTGTTGAATATGATAATAATAAGCTACAAGTGTTTTATTAGTATTATTATTTCTATCTCCATTTCAAGTTAAAAATCGATAAAATGAATTTAAGATAACATTTTGATAAATCTAGTTTTGAAATATATAAAACAAGTACAGTTTTAATCTTTTTTTTTAAGTTTTTCCACTTTCATTTTCAAGACGAAATGTTTTTTAGTGAAATTGTCAAAATTTATTAATAGTTACTAATTTTATGTAAAAAAATAATATGGAACATGGCAAAATATCCAAAAAAAAGACACAAAGCAAGTAAATACTTTCAGACAATTCACCTGGAGCTTATATTAAGAGAAATTAAGGTCCCTAGTAAAAACCACATAAAAAGTAAAAAAAATTACCATTGTAAAGAAGAGTAGTCCCGTGCGGAGACGTGGGCGGCGGACTGGGGGCCGTGGCGCCGGCGGTGGGACTGGATGGCCCCCAGCAAGAAGAAGGCGAGTCCCCGACCACGTCGATCTCCTCCTCTTCCTCCTCCGGAGGCTCCGGCCGCTCCGGCCACGTATAGGCCTTAAATTTCTTCGCCATGAGACAGCGCGGCATCGTGCTAACTGGTCGTCGGCAGGTTGGGCGGCCTCCAGCAGTGCGACTCAGTCATCCGTGGCAGGGTTATTGCATATTTCAGTTACGACCCCCGGTTGGCATCCTCGCGGGTTAAGATTCTTCTGCCGGTGCCGAGATCTGTGCCCCCTAGACGGTGTCGCCGGGACAATTTACCAAGTCGCAGTCCCCGATGGTCGCACTCGCGCACATGCACTTAGAAGTAGAGAGCGGAAAGACGAGTCGGAGGAGGATGTAGAACAGCGAGGAGAGAATAGAGAAGAGACAGCACAGCTCCGAAAGGCGAACTCAACAAACTAAACTAAACGGTGCCCTCGTGGTTTTAAAGCGCACCCTTAGTGTGCCTTTGCTTTTATATAACAGTAGCGGTGGTGGGAGCGCGTACATTGGGGTAGAAATCACCCTCGCCCCGCTACTATTGCGCGCACGTACTTGTCGCGCATTAGTCCGGTTACTTTGACACCATCCTTTTTTTGCCTGCCACTGCTTAAAGGATAAGACTACTGACAACTAAAGAAAGCAATGGCATTTTTTTCATTCCATTTGGGATTGTTGATTAGTTCAATCAGAAAAGTTGTACTGAAGTAAAGGAATCTTGCGCATAAAGTCAAGTCACTGACAATTTTGCTACTCCAGCAACGCTAGAAGGAAAATATTCAAGTATTTTTTTGATGCAAGAAAATTGTATGGCTGATAAATGCAAAATTATAATTTTTGTTGTTTAATGCCACCATAGTCTTATCGCATTTATGGAAATTGGTTATCGATATTAAGTGATTATTTTCTAGATGATTACTTTGGAATATTTATATACAGGGTGTCTCAAGGTGACGGCCCATTAGAATTAATTCAGAGACTACTTCGATTTGAATTTTGAAAATTTAGGATACCGGGTTTACGTACCACTTCCGGTAATAATAAATTTAAAATATCAGCATTTGAGTATGTATTGTTTTCCATTTCTTATAAACACTAAATTAAACTGTCACTGCAAGATACTATCAACAAATTCACAGTTTAGTTGTTTGTTTTGAAGTTTTACTAAAAATTCCACAGCTATCCTCGCAAGAAATTACATGATTTTGGGTGATTACACAAAAAATAGTAGATAACTTAAAAACTAGAAGAGATAGGTATAGGGAACCCTGATACCGTTCGAAAGAGAATAAAATTGTGTATCAGAATATAGAAAAACATACAGGGTGTTCCATAAAAAAAAACGACTTATGAAGGTTTGAAGTTAACTTAACTCGGCTTTAAATTTCTAGCACCCTGTATGCTATTAAGCCACTTTGAAAGTATGGATGGGAAGCTTAGGGGTCCAGCTATCCCCCCTATAAATATTGTTGATTTATCTGTCTTACTATAAAATACACTTGGTTTGAAGCTAGTCACTGTTTCTCTCCATTTTTTTGAAAAAAATTAAATATCTCGAAAACGGTTAATTTGTACCTCATCTACCTGTACTCGACTTTTTTGTATCAAGTGCCGAAAAAACCTGTCCCCAGGATAGGGGTGTTTTGGAAGAAAGTTATATAAATTCAAAGAATTGTTTTGGAGATGCAAAGCGTGAAAGATATTTTTTTAATCAAACTTTAGCCATATATTTTCCAAAAAACAATGTACTATAAAGAAATTTGGTACAGTATTTTTCGATCAACTGCTAAAAGTCGCTAACTATACTTTTTACAGCGACATTTTATGATACAAGATTTTTGAAGTTAGGTTTTTACAGTGTATATCAATGTAAAATTTCATTTTACCAAAAAGACCATTTGTAAAATAAATGAAAAAACCGTTTTTTTAGAAAAAAAGACAATAAATAACTTGATCTAAATCGGTTTATTTTCAACTAAGGAAGCCTTACAGTACGATCCATTTGTTTGTGGACACCCTGTATATTAAAGAAGCTACTGCCTGACTTTAGGACGATCAATAAACTTTTTTCAAAAACGGTAAAGTTTCACTGATTTCAACAAGGACAGTTTTTTATGTATTTAACATTATAATAACTTAACCATAAAAAAGATATGTCATAAATTGTTGCTGGAAAAGATCTTAGCTAAAACAACCTTTGGTAAAAGACAGTCACAGAACGTTTAATTTGCATATTCCAACAAAGTAAACAATGTCCAACATCATACACGTGATCCATTTCGACCAATAGTTTTGCAGTTACTCGCTTGATCATTGTTTACTTCGTTGAAATATGTAAAGTGAACGCAATAACCCAATTCCTCTGGGTCGAGGCGACATTAGCGAGAACTACTGAGAGAGGGACCAATATAGAAGACGGGATTTGATATTTTGGTGGCTCATTCAATATTACCGTTCAAGTATAAAATTGAAATATGGTCTTTATGCTAAAATTGAAGATTGTTTTAAATTTTCTGTACTAAGAAATGTCAAGACATTATCAAGACAGTTAATCAAAGTAATACTGCATGTTTTTAGAGGCGTGTTGGACACTGGGTGGGGATAACTTTTAACGCGACATTCTCGCAACGACATTCCCTCGCTGCGACCCGTTTTGACCGGGCTAGGGCCAATTGTGGGCCGCCGCCGCGTACAGCGTCGCTCTCCGTACGGGGTGAGCTTCTCCCTCGGATCCAACACGTGGCCGGCCATTAGGACGCGTGCCAGAGTATCATTACCGACAGCGGGGAGGGGTCTTAGGGGGGCCACGTGCTCTACCTGGCCGGCGACCACCTGATAGCGTCGCAGCTGGTCCGAGGAAACCCACTTCCCCGACTCGGGTTACGGCTTCCGCTTTCGCGCTGCAAAAAGTGCGTACGACGCGGCGGAGGTGGCGAAGAAGGGGCCGCCGGGTGTTGAGTCAACGCCGGTGCCTCGCGAAATATCATATTTTCGTCGATGAACGATGAATAAACAGCTCGCTGGAAGTTAAACCTAAACCAACTTAAATCCTCACTTTGGTTCGGTTATTATAGTCTTTCCGAAGTCAGTTGAACATGTATAAAAACGCCTAGCAATAAAATTTAATGAGTTTCATAGGCGGCCCTAAAAAAGTTTTCTGCTAAAGCTAAAAAATTATAATAATTTGTATATAATGTGTAGAAATCACACCTAATTCCGCATTGCTGCACTACACTGCTAGGCCATTTGTTGACAACTGAATTTATGGCCACGTCACCCGGTGCGGCTGTGTTTGTTCCGCGTTTGCACGCACGGTCATTCTTCAACTGCCGAGTTGCTGCGTCAGACTATACCAAGGCTTAACTGTGCTTAGCTAACCAGAGAAGACTTGGTTAACTAATCATATGGATAAACTGTAAATTTACATATTATGTCTCAGACAAGTTACCTTACTTTACTACCTGTTCCCTATTTGAATCGAGTATTAACTGGTTCTCAAGGTGCTAGGACTCTTAATTCAAATATCGCTGAAGAGAAATAGAAGGCAAACGACATTGCTTATAAACAACTACTAACATTTCTGTTCATGTTCCATTTCAATTTTAATACTCATTAAATTGAAGTCCTAGTCAATTAAGGACCAATATTTTGAGTACCAGTTAAGACTAATCGGATAACTAGAGAATGATTATAAATATGGATGTATTTCAGCAATTATTGCCCAATCATTATTGGATTAGTAAACTTTTGGGCCAATGTTTTGTAAGTCTTTAATAGACACCTCGGTATTGGCCTTTAACCAGTTAACATTTAACTAAGTCATCAAATGATAACCTACATACTGCGCTATACGCAACTACCAAACTTTAACTAATATTCAAATGATTGCCCTTAGATGATTAAGACTTGATTCAATAGTCAGATGATTCACAGACAAGTAGCAACAAGTATCAATCGGTATTCAAAACACTCACCTTCAAGTAGAGATTATGAATTGATTAGCTACCCATATAAATAGAAGTTCACTCTTAATCGAATCTCAACTGTGACTTAAAATTCTAATCCTTAGAATTAATATGTATTTTGAACATGAGAAACAGAGGGTAAACAATTTAGTTATTAGTTCTTTCGATATTAAATTAAATCTAAAGTCTTCAATGCATTGCATTGAAATAATTCTTTTTATTTAAAAAAAATTATTAAATAAGAAAGCTGCTAATGTAACGTTATTGGTTAAACTCTAACCAATAATTCTAATTAAGTTTATGTCAAAACTAATTTATTATCAAACAAAAGTATCTGAAAACAGTGAAGAATTATCCAATACAGTATCTAACAAAGTTTTCCAATAAAAATATTGCATTTTAAAGCAAGACTAACATCCGTACATAAAATAAGTATGTTTTCCTTCTGCCATATATCAAATACGTACTTTCTGATACAAACAGCAAACTAATACCAGCATAAGGAAAGCAACTAGATAAAAGTTTCCTCCCCCTGCGGAAGACCAGTGCATGTTTCTTGTTGTGACAGTTGGAGGTCGGATGTGTGTCCATATCTGGCGCTGATATCCGATGGCTCTACTGGAAGTAATAGAAAACGTCAGGTCGTTTTATTGTATTCCTGATCGAATTACAAAAAGTCCTGACCGAATCCCTACCTATAACCTGATGCGGGGTGTCAATGAACTGGCAGCGTTCCCTTGTGTTCCCTTGTGTTCCGAACTACATTACTGTTTTTTTTTTGTATTTCCAGAGAAATGTGTTAAAAAATATGTTAAGATTCAAATTTCCGAATCACATTCCGGAAAGTTGAGAATATATGTGCTCCAGTAGATAAAAATATGAGTTTTATATTCCACATCTGATATCGACCCTTCTCAGCGGTGATAAAAAGCCAATTAGTTTATTATTTATTCAGAAGATATGGATTTTGTCATAGAGTACAGGATCCAAAGCTCACCAGGCGTTACAAGTGGAATAAGATGACGCCGTCAATGTTGTCAAATATTTCTGTGAAGTTTCTGTAAAAGAAAGATCCACCTACGGAACAGATATTTCTAACTAGTACGTTCTGTCTAGAGGTTGGATAAAAGGTGATTTTTG